GGGGTGGAGGCGAGGAAACAGACTTACTTCATCGGGAAGGGCACTGAGGAATTGCGTCCCGTGAGACACAGTCCACACGGAGGACTACATAGAGACCCTTCTGTTCTGAGCAATGTCAAGATGCCAGTGGGGGAGACAGGCTGGGAAGACATGCGCCCTCTCCCCTGGCCCCAGGTGACCACCTTTACCTGATGTGGCCCTGGCCACCACTCCCTTGCCCCCTTCTCCCTCAAACCCTCTGGCCCAGCCCCAGGCCAGCCTTGGCTCCTTACCCCCTCTCCCCAGGCAGCAGCACCAGCTGAGGTGGGAGAATTCCACCACTGGTTTCCTGCTTCAGAGGGGCCCAAAGGCCCCAGGGGACCCTCTGCTCATGGCACTCATGGCCTCGGCAGTTTCCCACCGGGGACTGTGCCCCTCAGAGCTCAGCTGGCGCCTTCCAAGCTGGCTCTGGGGTTGATGATTTCAGAAAGACCAGAACTGTGTTTCATAACCATCTCTGTAGCTGAGTCATCACTTTTTTTTTTTTTGATACGGAGTCTTGATCTGTTGCTCAGGCTGGAGTGCAGTGGCATGATCTCAGCTCACTGCAAGGCGTGCAAGCTCCACCTATCAGGTTCATACCATTCTCCTGCCTCAGCCTCCTGAGTAGTTGGGACTACAGGCGCACCGCGCACCATGCCCAGCTAATTTTTTGTTTTTAGTAGAGATGGGATTTCACTGTGTTAGCCAGGATGGTCTCAGTCTCCTGACCTTGTGATCTGCCCACCCTCGGCCTCCCAAAGTGCTGGGATTACAGGCGTGAGCCACTGTGCCTGGCCAGAGTCATCACTTTTAAGCTTTTAGATTAAGAGATGTGGGGCCAGGCGCGGTGGCTCACGTCTGTAATCCCAGCACTTTTGGAGGCTGAGGCAGGCAGATCACGAGGTCAGGAGGATCGAGACCCATGGTGAAACCCCATCTCTACTAAAAACAAACACAAAATTAGCCAGGTGCAGTGGCAGGCACTGTAGTCCCAGCTACTGGGGAGGCTGAGGCAGGAGGAATGGGCGTGAACCCGGAGGCGGAGCTTGCAGTGAAACGAGATCGTGCACAGCACTCCAGCTGGGTGACAGAGCAAGGTTCTTGTCTCCAAAAAAAAAAAAAAAAAGAGATGCACAGCAAGTCAACTGCATTCAGAGCAGCACTCTGAAAATCACGTGTCTCAACTTTGAATCTCCACCTCGTGACAACAACGAACTTGAGCGTGTGGTCCTTGGCCAGGATCTCCTCGTTGCATAAAATGTTCCAGCTAGGGGAGAAGCAGGTTTGATTAAGAAGCGGGGAGAGTGCTCAATCCATGCTGACATGGCACCTCGATGCTGGGTGTGAAATCTGCAGCCCTTCCCCAATCATGCAAGAATGTGGCTAGAGACGGTGATGGTGGTTCACGTATTCCTCCATCCCCTACCTCACAGCCTAGACACGGGTGTGGTTCACGTATCTTTCTTCCTACCTCACAGCCTAGAGGACGGGATGTGACTCACGTATTCTCTGCTCCTACCTCACAGCCTAGAGACAGGATGTGGTTCACATATTCCCCCATCCCTTACCTCACAGCCTAGAGACGGGTGTGGTTCACGTATTCCTCCATCCCTACCTCACAGCTAGAGACAGGTGTTGTCATGTATGTTTCCTCTGTCCCTACTTCACACTCCTAAATGGAAATCCAGGCTAACATACCAAGCTATGACAGGGCAGGCCTGTGCCAGTTAGGGGGATTGACATTTTGCAGGGGTTCAGGCGCACGGACTAGCTCTTGCGCGGTTTGGGCTCCCATTCCACCCCCACCTGGCCTGCAGCTGCCCTGTACCCTTTTTCTCTTGACGCCCAGGCCCATCACCACCCCGTGCTACCAAACCTGCTGTACTGAGAAATGGGAAGAGGTGGTTTGCAGCCCCATGAACAGCCCCAGACAGCTCCAGAATCGGGTACCCCTGGTTCCCCAGGTGGCACAAGCACCTGAGAGGCCCACAGGGCTGATGTGTTTTCCCTCCCCATACGCACCCAGCCTGGTCCACACCAGCCCCTTCCCACGACTGCACGCCTCCAGGGGCACCTCTCCCCACAAGCCTTACCTTGGGGTCCAGGCTGTCCCTCCCCCTCACCACAGGTGCAAAGGCACTGGGCTCCCCAGTCTTTTAAAAAACATTAAACAGACTTTTTAAACAACAATTTAAGGCTCACAGCAAAATTGAGAGGAAGGTACAGGGAGTTCCCGTCCCCCTTGGCCACCCCCCAACCAACACCCTGCATGGTAGCACATTAGTCACCACCCAGGAACCTGCATTGATGTCACCTCTAGCATCCAGAGCTGATGTCAGGTTGCCCTAGTGGCAAAGCCACAGGTGCACAAACAGCAGCATTGCTGCCCAGGAGCCCTGTGCCTGTCCACTCCTACCACCCTCCCCAAGCCCCTGCAGCCTCCAGATGGTTCTGCCTTTTCCAGTGCGCCATGCCGCAGAGCTAGAGTCGCACAGCCTGCAGCCTTTTCAGAGGAGCTTCTCTACTTAGTAACAGACACTTGATTTTTCTCCCCCATGCCTGCTCCTGGCCTGACTGCTCGTTTCTTTTCAGTGGTGGATAATATTCCAGTATGGAGGCACAACAGTTTATTTACCCACTCATCTACTGAAGGCCATCTTGGTCGCTTCCAAGTTTTGGTAATTATGAAGAAAGCTGCTATCAACATCCAGGTGCAGTTTTTTGTGTGGGCAGGAGATTTCGTTTAAACAACAGGGGGCATGGCTGCTGGATGGTTTGCCAAAAGTGTGTTTTGTGTTGTCAGCAGCTGCCAAGCTGTTCTCCACAGGGGTTGCAGGTTCCGCTTCCCACAGGAATGAATCTGCGTTCCCCGCATCTCCGGAGTGTGTTGTCAATGCTTGGGATTATGGCAGTTCTACGAGGTGCGTGTGGTGCCACGTGGTTTTACTTGCATTTCCCTGATGATGTAGACAGTTCTTCAGATTCCTTTCTGGGGAAGACGTGAAGCAGCCCCATCTGTCTGAGTGGCTGGGTTGCAGGGCTGAGAGGCACGGTCACCGCAGCAACAGCGAAAACCTCACACTCTTCCCTGGAGGAACCAGCCCTGTGCTGGGAAATGGCCGACCTCTTCCCCACCCCCTGCAGCCCCACTGCCCCCGTGGCTTTCCGCTCCACCTCCACATGAAAATCCAAGGACTTCCTCGGCCTGCTCCGTGCCCAGCTACCATCCATCTTTTCTGTTTCGCTACACAGAAAAGCAAACAAAACAACTGAAACTTAGCAAAAAGACTTTCCCCATTTCCTCCTCTCCCTTCCCCCAATGTCCTGACTTTTCTCCATGGGCTCCAGGCAGCCCGTGCTCACTGAGTCTCCCCAACCCCCATGTGCTGTCTGTATCCCCTGCCAACATATGGGACACTCAAGGCTGGCACTAGCCCCCCATGATCTGACACAGCCTCTGCTCTGTGTCACCACAGCAGCTACGCCTGTTGCGAGACGCCACGCCCCCCACCCCTGCCAACCGAGCAGCCGCAGGCCTGCAGTCATTCCTGACCCCTTCCTTTTCTCTGCATCGCCACCCAAATACATCAGCAACTTATTGTGGCTTTCTCTGAATTAGTCTCCCACGGCTACCACGGAAATTAGCACAATGAGCGTGGTGGCTTCAAACAATAGAAATGTACTCAGTTCCAGAGTCCATAAGAGTCACGCTCCCTCTGCAGGCTCCCAGGGAGAAGCACAGTCCATTCCGTGTTGCTGCCACAGCACGCCACACACTGGGTGATTTATGAAGAACCCAGTTCTTCATAACCCAGAACTTCAGCACAGTTCTGGGAGCTGCGGCATTCAAGGTCACCACGTTGCCACTTGTGAAGGCCTTCTGCTGCGTCCGCACGTTGGGAAAGAAGAGGGAGAACCCATGCTGGCCAGTCCTTTCACAGCAGCATCGATCTGTGCATGGGGCAGGGCCCTCGGTCTGAGTGCCTCCCCCAGGCCCTAACTCCCAGCACTGCCCCGCTGGGGATGGAATTTCCAACATATGAATCTGGGGGATGCCTTCGGACCACAGCAGGGGAGCCTGCCCTGGCTTCCAGCTGCTGGTGGCCCAGGCGCTCCCTGGCTCGCCTCAAGGCTGCCTCCCTCCAGCCTCCAATCCGTCCTCTGCTCTGTCCTCACCAGGGCCTCCTGTCCCATCTTGAGTCTTCCTCTGCCTCACTTGTCATGGGATTTAGGCTCCACCCATACATTCCAGGATTATTTCATCTCAAAATCCTTCACTCAATTATATCTACAAAGATCTTTTTCCAAATAAGGTCCCATTTGTAGGCTCTGGGGGTGAGGACATGGCTTATCTTCTGGGGCCACCGCTGAGCCCACTGCTGCTCCAGAGAGCATCTCAAGTCTGTCCACTTCTCCACCCTGACTGCCCCCACCACAGTCCTCCTCTTCTGCGGCTCCTAGTGCTGGCCTCTCCTGTGTCCGTTTCTGCACAGCCTGAGCAATTTTCAAAAACGACACCTCAGACCCATGCTCCTGCCCACAGCCACCAGTGCCTTCTCTCTCCACGAAGAGCTGGACCCTGCTGGCGCCTGCATCTCCATGGTGTCACCGCCTTGGGGGCTCACAGGGACCCACACTGGTATGTTCGTGATGCACCCGCTGCCAAGGCCACCTCACGCCCGTATTCCTTCATTTCCTTACGCACCACAGCCTGGAAGGGTCCTCCTCCTCTCCATCCGCCCATGTCTCCCCTTGTGAAATTAAAGCACAGAATTTCTCGTTGCGAGGAAAACCTTTACCCTATTTTAAAACAATCTCATCATCCCCGCCCTAGTTCTCTCTTCCACTCACAGTGGCGTTCCACGTTCCCTGTCTCTGGGCATCCTCCTATCCCGCTCCCTGGTGGAGCAGGGAAAACTGATTTTTTTCTGATTAAAATCTCCAAAGTTGTTAAAAACAAAACGAAACTAAGCAAAGAATCTTAGAAGTGTCACTTTTACAAATAAGAGAGGACTTGTTATGGTTTCTACTTAGGGATCAACTGTTACCTCGTTAAAGGACGAAAGGTTGAGTTTTTTGGCGATGAACTTCTTTAGATGCAAGACGGTCGCCTGGGCGGAGCAGCGGATCCACTTCCGCTTCAGTCCCCGCAGTTTGCTGCTGTTACACTCCAGGCAGATGCTCACCTGCAGGAAAGGACGCTGGTGAGAACACAGCAGAAAGGCTCCCCTGGATGGTTCTGGAGGCTTCCTTAGACATATTTCACTAATTCCTCAATCTAGGACTGCTGACCTTTTTGAGATCAGACATCTGCTTTGACTTCAACAGTGCAGAAAAATAATCTTACATACCTTATCTGAAAACCTGTTTATCATCTGCTTGCCATTTTGTGAACTATCACCTCACCCCGTTAATTCTGTGTGTTATTAACATAATATTTGAGAGTTAATTCCAGAGTTATTTATCCATCGCAGGCACTGAGTTCTTGGTCTCCAGCTAAGTCTGTCCGGACAAACACAGGGCAAAGAAGAGTGGGTGGCTCTGTGTCTGCGAATGCACTCGGGGAGACAGCAACGACTGCAGGAAGACAGTAGGGAGAAGGCTTGAGCAGAGCCTCACGTAGAAGGTCACAGCTGCCTTCCAGGTGACCAGCAGCTTGGCAGGAGACCCGCAGGATAAAAAGTGACTGAAGGGGATTGTGGAGTCCCAGCAGCCACAGGGTCCCAATGGGTGCGAAAAGGAATCTGCCCAGGACCAGGTTCAGGACGAGTCTTCACCCGAGGGCCTGGCTGCTCGGCCCCCAAGATATGCCTGACAAGGAAGGGCGACGCTCACGGCAAACACTTCTAGAGGTGGAGCCACAACAAACAGCACAGTTAGGCCCTAAAAATGCAGTGGAAGGATGACCAGGGGGTTAACTGAAATATGTATGTCTAAAATTACAAAAGATACAAAAGGGAGGACACCAGGGGTACAGACAGGCAGGTGTTGAAGGTAATCAGACACAATTTCTAAAAATAAAAACACTGACAGAAACTAACATCTCAGTGGATGGCTGAACCACAGATTCATCTCAGCTGAGGAGAGACTGATATCCTAAAAAAAAAAATCACTGGAGGAAGTTACCCATAAGGAGTAGAGACAAACACACCAATTAAAACAATAAAAGGAAGGCTAAGAGAAAGGGGGGAAGACGGGAGCCCCAGAGAAAAGAACAGAAAGGAAAGGAAGTGTTAAGAAACAGTGACTAAGGATTTCCTACAACAGTGAAGGTCAGATTCTCAGTTTCAGGAAGCAAAATAATCCAAAATAAAAGAAATAAAAAGAAATACACACCCCGACATGGTGCAGTGACTGAGCACAGCCCATTACAGGCCCCCGCAAGAGCCACTAAGAAGAGAAGTGGATTCCGTGCAAAGAGCAAGAGAGAGATCCGCTGCAGGGTGAGGATGGAGTGAGGGGCTGCCTGCAAGCATCACAGGAGAAGGGCAGCACGGGGAGAAAGACCTAGAGCTCGGAGGGAGAAGAACACAGGAGAGGAGCCGCGCGGGGAGAAAGACCCGGAGTCCGGAGGCAGAAGAACTTGGGAGAGGAAGAACTCGGGAGAGGGGCAGCGAGGGGAGAGAGACCTGGAGTTTGGCGGAAGAAGTGAGAAGTGGGAGAAAGGGCGTGCCCAGTGAGAGCGGCGGTAGGGGTGCTTGTGCGGGGAGGGGCACAGACTTACAGTAACTTTGGACTTGTTTTTTTTTTTAGACAGAGTCTCCCTCTGTCGCCAGGCTGGAGTGCAGTGACTCGATCTCAGCTCACTGCAACCTCTGCCTCCTGGGTTCAAGCGATTCTCCTGCCTCAGCCTCCCATAGCTGGGACTACAGGTGCCTGCCACCACGCCCGGCTAATTTTTTCTATTTTAGTAGAGACGGGGTTTTACCATGTTGGCCAGGATGGTCTCGATCTCCTGACCTCGTGATCTGCCCGCCTCGGCCTCCCAAAGTGCTGGGATTACAGGCGTGAGCCACCGCGCCCGGCCAAAAGTTTCTGATTTTTTAAAAAACCTAACTCTATGTTGTAAACAGTGTCACATTTAAGACACTTTAAGAACAGAAATACCACACAAGTATTAACCAACAGAAAGCTGGCATAGCTAGATTAGTATTAGTCAAGCAGACTTTAAGAAACAGAGCTTAATGAGGAAGAAGCCCCCTAAAGACAAGAAACATTTCTATACGGGAACACAGCTGGTGACAAAAGCGCGCCAACAGAATGGCCATGGTGGGCTTCACGTCTCTGTAAGCAGCGGACGTGCCCTGCCCTCAACAGGCAGCCGCCGTCTCAGGCTCAGGGAACAGGCGCGCCAGGCACGCACGCACAAGTCTGAGGCAGCAGGGTCTGCAGTGTGTGGGGCCCACAGGGCAGCAGGAAGGGGCTGCACCGATGAATGCCGGCCTGCATGCACCTGAGGGAAAACGCAGACACAGACGGGCGGGGACGGGGTCAGGGGTGGGGGGGGATTGTGGAAGGAAAACAAGAAAATGTTTACATTTGCTCAGATTTGCATACATACAGGAGGTAATCACACAGTGGTTCTCTATAGGTCACTACAGACAGTGACACAGATGAGAACAAAATTGAACCTTTTCTATAATATTAATCTTAGGACTAAACCAATGTATTACCTATTTAAATACACTTTAAGTTACAAGCACACTTCTAATTTTTAGGCTTTATTATGGCACAGTTTACACACCTCTTTTATGTATATAATGCAAGAATTTTCCATAAATTCACAGACTTTCTCGATGATCGCCATGGCAGTCTGGGATGGTTTCCATCACCTCAGAACCCCCCGTCAGGCCCTTCTGCAATTTGACCCTGCTGGGGGAGTGGGGTGGGGAGTGAGTGTTTAATGGGGGCAGAGCTTCAGTTTGGGAAGATAAAAAGGCTCTGGAGATGATGGTGGTGGTGGCTGTACAACATTGGGTTTGTACCCAAGGCCACTGAACCACACACCTGAAAATGGTTAAAATGGCATATTTTATGTGCATTTAACACAATTTAGAAAGTTGGTAAAAAAAAAAAAAAAAAAAATTTAAAAATTATTTTAATAAGAACCAAATTATGCAGCTGGAAAGTAAAGGAATGTTCAACTCTAGAGTTTAGAAAAGAGCTGGGTGCAGTGGCTCACACCTGTAATCCCGGCACCTCGGGAGGCTGAGGCGGCTGGATCATTTGAGGTCAGGAGTTCGAGACCAGCCGGGCCAACATAGTGAAATCCTGTCCATAATAAAAATACAAAAATTAGACGGGCATAGTGGCGTGTGCCTGTAATCCCAGCTACTCAGGAGGCGGAGGTGGGAGACTCACTTGAACCAGGGAGGCAGAGGTTGCAGTGAGCCGAGATTGCGCCCCCACACTCCATCCTGGAATACAGAGTAAGACTTCGTCTCAAAAAAAACCCCCAAAAAACAAAAAAAAACAAAGGCTGGGTGTGGTGGCTCATGCCTGTAATCCCAGTATTTTGAGAGGCCAAGGCAGGTGGATCACCTGAGGTTGGGAGTTCAAGACTAGCCTGATCAACACGGAGAAACCCTGTCTCTACTAAAAATACAAAAAATTAGCCGGATGTGGTGGCGTGCGCCTGTAATCCCAGCTACTCTGGAAGGCTGAGACAGGAGAATAGCTTGAATCCGGCAGGCGGAGGTTGCGGTGAGCCGAGATCGCACCTTGCACTCCAGCCTGGGCAACAAGAGTGAAACTCCATCTCAAAAAAAAAAAAAAAAAAAAAAGGACAATTCTGAAGAAGAAAAATGAGGGGGACCTACTCTCCCAGAAGACCACAGCTTAATGGTAAAATAAATCATTGCAATTCAGTTAAGTTCCTTGTTGTTTTGGCACAACGGGAGACAAGAGACCAGCAGAACAGAGCAGAGAGCCCGGGGGGACCTGAGAGTGTGGAAACCTGGCAAAGTTGAACCCACCCGTCCATTCTACACACAAGGTCAACTGTAGGGGCTTACAACCCAACTGGGAAAAGCAAACCTTTCAAATATGTTACAAGACAATGTAGAAGAATGTATTTATGACCTTAGAATGGGGAAACATTTTCAAGACACAAAAGAAAATACCGAGAAATTTAATTATGTCAAATTTAAAACTGTGGATGATGGTAGGTTGAAGAAAGCCAACAGCCACAGAACGAAAGACGATCGCTGCGGTGAGGGAAGAGGCAGCCCTGCAGCTCACGTGAGGAAAAGTCAGGCTGCCCAGGACAGAGATGGGCAAAGAACAAGTAAGCAACTCACACGCAGAGGAGCCCAGAGACGTGCGATGAGCCGCTGGACACCCCACACACAGGAGACTGATCAGAAATAACACAGATACCGTGGAACACACCTGCCCAGGGGGATAGGTGCAATGTTTTAGAAGAGTGATGGGCCGGTCACCACCTAAAAGTCTCCAATGTTAGAACAGATGCGAAATTAAGTGTAAAAACGTCACAGCGTACCAACACGTGCCACGCACACACTGTGCACACACCACACGCTCCGCGACACCACGCGGCCCTGTGTGTACACGGCAGTCACCATCAAGCGGTTACGTTACACAGCTCGAAATGCAACTTTGATTGTAAAGAGGGCACTACAGAAGGACCTGTCGCTTTCTATGTCTACCCATCGGCCTGCCTGGGACACTGAGCTCCTTATCCACCTGGAAATGAAAAAGAGCCCAAGATCTGGCATCTGCATCTGGGTCACCAGCGAGTCCTACAGGCTCCCTCCCTTTTTTTTGGGGGGGTGGGGGACAGAGTCTCGCTCTGTCGCCCAGGCTGGAGTACAGTGACGCGATCTCGGCTCACTGCAAGCTCCGCCTCCCGGGTGCACGCCATTCTGCCATTCTCCTGCCTCAGCCTCCCGAGTAGCTGGGACTACAGGCGCCCGCCACCTCGCCCAGCTAATATTTTTTTTTTGTATTTTTAGTGGAGACGGGGCTTCACCGTGTTAGCCAGGATGATCTTGATCTCCTGACCTTGCGATCTGCCCACCTCGGCCTCCCAAAGTACTGGGATTACAGGCTTGAGCCACCACGCCCGGCCGCTCCCTCCCTTTTAAATATGCCCCAACCCAGTGCTGCACACGCATTGCCACCTGCCTGGGCCTCCGGCTCCGACTCCTGCCTGGTCTCCGCATGG